AGAAAGAAAGAAAGAAAGAAAGAAAGAAAGAAAGAAAGAAAGAAAGAGGACTGGGAGAGACAGAAAGAGAGGGGGAAGAGAGAGAGAAAGAAAGGAGAGAGAGAGAAAGAGACAGAAAGAGAGTGAGAGGGAGGGAGAGAGGGAGGGAAGGAGGGAGGGAAGGAGACAGGAGTGTGTGTGTGTGTGTGTGTGTGTGTTTGGTTATGGGGATTTAACAAGGTAATAATGACAACTGTCTTACTCTTATTCATTGTCTATCTATCATCTAGCTATCCATCATCTATTTATTTGTTAAATTTATGTGCCGCCTATCTCATCATTGGGTTACTCTGGGCATTTTACAATAATAAAAAGAAAAATGAAAGGCATGTAAACAGAACAGAAAAAAAAATAACAGAACACTAAAATAAACAATGGCAAAGGATCACAAGAAGAATAAATATATCAATAGGATAACCAATATAGCAATAGTACTTAGACATATATGCTGCTTCACAGTATTTTACAGCCCTCCCTGAGCAAATTACTGAGTGCAACATATTGCCAGATCCTGGTTACAGGACAGGACAGGGTACTGTAACCAGGAAGTCACTTCCCAAACCCTAGAGCTGAATTGAAGTACAATTGTATGATGAAATGCATATTTTTGTGAATTCTGCAGAGTACCTATTAAAAAAATATGCAAAAAAGTACGTATTAGGAGAAAATGTGGGAAAATACGTAGGGAGAACTGCACACACAAAAATGCCTACCTCGTGGGAATGTCTGTGTGAAAAAGTTATCGAGATTTTTCTGGGAACTGGAAAAAAATGCACTGATTGCAAACCTTTTAAAAACAACTGATTAGAACTGGTGTTTCACTCCTCGCCAGTTTATGCAGATTTAAGAAAACCTTCTACAATTAATTGATTAGGACGGACTAATTGATTGAAAGTACTTGAACTGAGAGGTTAGCTTCAAGCATACATTTGGAAGAAATGTACTTTGTAACCAGAAGAGGCTGTAAGTTGGTTGAAAAAATTTCCTGGCTCATTTGTCAGAGATCTCTATTTGGAAAGGCATCAACAATAGTAATAATACAAGAGGGTCTCAGTAGGTGGAGCT